CGCTGTGTTTTCACCTCCGGTGATCATCCCCATCGTATCCTTTACCTTGAAACAAGTAAATCATTTAAAATTTTTGGATTTTTATGGTATTATTTGATTGTTTATTATTATTTAAACTAAAAAAATTTTATCTTTCTTCTTCAACCTTTTCCCTCTATTTAGATGATGAAAAATTAAGTTTAACATAATATTTTGAATTTTCCTAACTTGGAGTAACTAAAGAGTAGTTCCGATGATTTGAGGGGTTGATTTCTACAAATGAATGATTTTGGTCACCAATATCGAAGAACCCTTTAATTAGGATTATAAACATTTAATGAGGAATGTGGATGTGAGAATTAGGACATTACGATCAGATAGACGAAACCCGTAGTTATTTCAGCTATAAATTAGATTCAAAATATTATGTTAAAAACGTTTACTTGATCAAAGTTTGAACTGTATGTTAATGTTAATTGTTTCAGTTAAAATATTTCAAAATATTATTTTAAAAACGTTTTCTTGATCGAAATATTATTTCAGCTACAAATGAAGTCTTAATTTTTTATTCAGGGAATTTACAATGAGGAGTGAACTAGATGATGCTCCAGTTTCTGCTCCTAAATTGGTGGGTTCGCTAAATTTTGTTTGAACTGTGTGTTAATTGTTTTGAACTTTTCATTATGAAATGCTGTTATCTTTCAGAAATTTGCGCCGAAAGTAGTTCCTCGGAAGCAAACAAGAAAAGCGGCAGCCAAAGTGTATTTTCTTGTTCATAGTTCATTTCCTATTTGGATTGATTTCTTCGAGTTCTAATTTGGAATTTATGCTGTGATCTGTGATGTACGCAGAGAGACGGTTGAGACGAAGAGTGATCTTATTAATAAGGAACTTCTCGCAAAGCTCAACAAGGCTAAAGTAATTGATGTTTTTCTTCTTTATAAAAAGTTTTTAATTTTTTTGGCTGACTTGTTCTAATAGAGGATTTCTTGGCAGACTGAAAGCAGTTTTGCGAGGAGGCCGAAGGTGGAGAAAAAATGTAAGTGGTTCTTATTGTATATCATTTGTGTTGGCTATGTTTAAGAGAAAAAAGCTTGTGATCTCATAGTAGTTCATACTTCCTCTTCCTTTTTCCATGAATGGGTCAAGCTAATGTTTGAACATAGTGAATTACTACTTAGTGATAAGCTAGTAAACCAAATTCAAGTAATGAAACTAGGAAATGTTTAATGAGCTATGGTGATCATATTGTGTCTTCTTGTTCTAATCCGAGCTGTTGTTTGCAAGGTTCTGGAGTTAAGCAGGATGAGTGTTTGGTCCCGTAAACCAAATTCAAGTAATGAAACTAGGAAATGTTTAATGAGCTATGGTGATCATATTGTGTCTGCTTGTTCTAATCCGAGCTGCTGTTTGCAAGATTCTGGAGTTAAGCAGGATGAGTGTTTGGTTCCGTAGATAAATATACAGGGAAAAGAAACAAACAGAAAGGCAAGCTTCACCTTATGCTAGGGGGAGATAAAGGCTAAATTTTCTGCAGTTGTTTCTGTGTAATAATGTTAAAAAGGCCAAACAACAATAAAAATTTCTTGATCCATTTCTCTGGAGCTGTGTGAAACTTTTACCATTTGATAGAAATATAGAACTCATGTAAGGCCAATTTCCCAATATTTTTCCGGTGGTTGCAGCTGCCCCGGCTCAAGTTGCTTTTGGAGATGGGAGCTCATCATTAATCAGGTCCTTTGGCTATCATAGAAGTGCAGTCTCAGAAAGTAAGCATGAAGGTCCCACTTTGGGGATTATCTCCACCCATCACACTTTCCATTTTTTATTCCCTCTTTTAAACTTTTTTTCCCCAGGTGGTCCTGATGTGTCCATCACTCCAATAAAAGAGTATATTGAGCCATGGGTGAGTTACTGTGTAATCTGCATTTCTCTCCTTGAGTTACTGTATAATGTGCGCATTTCTCTCATTTCTCATCATATTCTCTTTCTAATTTAGTTATGAACTTGTTTATGCGGTTACTCATACAGGACTATGGACATACTTATTATCCTGTCACTCTTCCCTTCAGGAGGCCATATTCGGGAGACCCAGGTATAAATTGTCACCACACGGTGTTTTAGACAGTCTAATTTGGAAGGATCACCACTTAAAAGTTTAAGTGCTTTGTTTGTTTCAGAAATTCTTGATAGCGAGGAATTTGGGGAGGATTCGACGAATACAGATAATGTGCCTCCTGTTCCCCCTGCTGAGGAGCTTGGTTTGACGGTTTGTATCTCTTAAACAGCACATCCCCTCAATGTACAATATGAAATTTCTTTATCTGTCAGGACATTTTTTTTTCCTCCACATTGACATTATATGGTGAAAAGATAAGAAATGGTTTTCTACACATAAATCTTTATGTTTGCTTCTGTATTTGTTAACATGTATCTATTTTATATTGTATGTGAAGTTGTAGTTTGTCATTTATTACCAAGCAAAACTGCTAATTTAAGAAAGTTAGAGGTTGATCCTATTGAGGATAAAATGAGAGAGAATCTTTTGAAATGGCCTGGTCATGTGCAACAGATGTCATTAAATGCATCAATTAGGAGAAGTAATAATAAATGTTGGATAACTGATGACTAGAGATAGGCCTTGGAGAACTTGATTAGAGGTGTTGAGAAGTGTACAAAAGTGATTAACTGCGAAGGAGATAATCCTTAGCAGAATTGAGTGGAAGATTATGATTCATCATTCATGTAGCTGACCCCAAAAATTTGTGCTTAAGGTTTTTGTTATTGTTGTTGTTGGCAGGAACCAAGCACAGGGCCACAAATGTTCCTTTTCCAGTTCCCAGCAGTTCTTCCATTTGCCAGACCTCCCACTGCAGCTACGAATAGTGAAGGCAGCAATACTAAACCAAACAATGCATCTAACAAAAGCGACAACTCCAAGGAAGGCTGCACTGTGAAAGACCTCCAATCTGGTCACATAGGAAAAATGATGGTATACAGTAACGGCAAAGTTAAGATGAAGATCGGAGATACACTCTTTGATGTAAGTAGAAGAAATATTAACCATATTTTCTGATGATTATTTCTCATCTCATGAAAAATGATACCTCTTTGTTCTCAAAAACTGCACAGGTGTCATCTGGAGAGAATTTTGTTTTTGCTCAAGATGCTGCAGTGATCAATGTTGAGGGAAAACACTGCTGTTTTATGGGAGAGGTTCCCAAGCGAGTGGTGGTAACCCCAGATATCGATCACCTCTTAGAGGCTTTAGAGGATTTCTGATCAGATTAGTGGGCTTCAATTTTTTTGCATTTAACATTTTTCAGTAGCTTGTGCTAATCTTTCTCATTATAACAATAAAGTCCTTGAAAATTTTGATATTTTTTGACTTATTTGCCATGATTCCGATGGTATGGACTAGCAGTGTATCTTTTTTTCATCTTGATACTCCAAGTGTAACATGCACCTTATTTACTGAGTAATTATCCTTATTTACTGAGTAATTATCTGTTACTTCGTATTTTTGTAAGCATATGTCAAAGATGTTATGTAGTTTCTGGTGATACTTTCTTCTGCCCAGTGAAAATATACTTCAGTAAAAAATTCTTTTCAGCACTATTTTTGCCATTTATCTTCTAGGATTTTTAGCAGTTTTTATAGTCTGTAGGAAATATTTTTATCAGTTTTCAGAGAGGTTAATTAGAACTTGCAGTGGTGATACATATTTGTTTCGCAAATGTTTCTCAACAAAAGAAAGGGTTTTTCATTGAAATCACCTTTAAAATAGAGGCATTCTAAAGAAACCATCTTTTATTTTCAATTTGTAGAAATATCAACTTCAAAAGATTTTTGTTGCAATCAACCATCTGAACACTTTTCAATTGAAATTTTTTCGGTAATTGACCCCATCTAACATAGATTAAGGATCATCTCTCTAATATGTTTAATATTAACTAATTGTTACAAAAATCCGTTCAAAGATGGTTTGTGTATAAAAAATTAACAATCAAAGATGGTTTTTATAGAATGACCTGTAAGGTGGTTTTTAGGGGGGAAAACCGAAAAAAAAAATAGTTTTTTTTAAGAAATAAGAAACATGTACCATATTTTTGCCTGATTGGAGTCATCTTTGATTTGGGCGGAGTCTTAATTAACTAGAGACAAGTTAGCCGAGGCTTCATCTTTTTAGAGGACTCACATCTACGTTCCTCGTTCTTTTTTGAGGACTCACGTTCCCCATTATATGTGTACAATTTCGTATGCAAATTCAAGTCCAACTCCCACCATTGATCAAGAGTATGCGCCTTCCTCATATCCCTCCTCCGTCTCAAATTCACCGTCAAGCTCGCCGATGGCAGAAGATGCAACGGATCCGACTCCCTCCCGATCGCGCTCCAAAACAAATCCCCGATACAGGCCTCTCTATCGCCCCCGCCCCCATCTCCTCCATCTTCGTCCGATGCTTAAAGTACCCGATAAACCCCGAGCATATCGGATCGTCCGGATGAGCAAAAATTAGAGGGACCCACGCCGACAGTTTCGCGAACGACGAGTCCTTATCCCTCTGCAGGCTTTTCGCGGCGAAGCTGGCCCCAGCGACAATGAGGCTCCTGGCGATCCTGATCCCCGTCTTAATCTGCTCGACCCTGATCTTCTCTATCGGCGCGAAGAAGAATGGTGGGTTGAAGAGGAAAGTATCGAGGAAATCGCCGGATCTGGCCATTTCCTTGCCAGCCACCGTCGCGATGGATGAGCCGAGAGAATGGCCCGCAAGCCAAACTTTAGAGCTTACACCCGTAACGGAAAGCACGTCTTTAACGGCTCGGATGGCTAGCGCGGAACGGGTAGTACGGTGGAGCCCGTTTTGACAGATGCTGAGGTCGAGCGAGATGTCTCGGCTCCTGGAGTCTTTCGTCGTGATGGTGCCACGAAAGGCAACGATGTATTTTGGTGCATTGTCGAGCCTAGGGTTTCCAGAGAGTACTGTAGGCTCTTCGGTGGGTGTAGTGGGGGGTTTGAATTCAAAAATGGCGCCGAAGATGGAGTAGTCGACGTCGTCGACCAGTAGCTTAACGGGGTTGAAGTGGAAGAACTCCCACCAAGGTGGGGCGAGAGCTTCGTCGCCGATGCGGTTTTCTTGACGGTCGAACTCAAGAAGGTATACACTTTTTACCAGGACGGCGGCTATGACTCTCCGATGATCTGGACATGTCCTGTGAGAACATGAATCCACATCGCATTAAAGCAATACAATAGCAACGAGTTTAAAATGGATTATTGAAATGAAGAAGATACGTGAGTCCAAGGCTATTCTATGAAAACCACGCTTACTCTTGAACATGTAAAATAGAAATTTACACGTAAAATAGAAATTTATAACCTTCTTCAAAGATTACCACACTTTGGATGTTCTGATGTAATTAATGATACTTGAAATTATAGATTTTAGCTAGTGCATGCGGAAGTGTAGCAACGAACTTGGTGATGTTGTAGGATCCTCCTTCAATGTCTCTTTTCAAAAGGACCTTTTTTTAAGGTACATTTTCCAGAATCTATTATCACTTTCATGAATTTTTGAGTAACTATAATATCTATTTCACTTTGCATAAACTTGGGAATTATACTCCTATGGCACTATGAAAATATTCAAAGTTTAATTTATCCCATATTATATACATAAACATGGAATAATAGAAGGTCAAGAGAGTTTATATTGAACTTCGTGGGATAATGTTATCCAAAACTTATATCCGTAATTTTGTATGATAGTTGTTATGGGGTACGACTGTTTCCAAATATATGATATGATGAGTCGTCATCTCCATCCAGCCAAACAAGCCGACAACCCAGTGTCGACACGAGAAGCGGTGCTAATTGACATGAGACATCCTAACCTCCCAGACGAGTCAACATCTCGACCGACGGGAGAGATAGTCAGAAATCAGCTAGCAGTCCGACTCAGCCGACCAGACGAGTCGACATTCATCAATGTCGACACGAAAGACGGTACCAGTCGGCCCTCTCGTAGCAGGCAACTCGCCAAGAGCCTAGTTGACCCAATCGAGTCGATACTCCTCCATGTCGACTCGAAAGGCGGGACGAGTCGTCACCCGACTCCATTCAACCAGCAATCCTTGAGTCGTCACTCCTCTCAACGAATCGACTCTCCTCATGAGTCCCATCATGAGGGACATTACTTTTCAGCGAAGTAAGAAGATAACTTCACCAAAGCTTATCCATCCCGACAACAAGTCATATCATGTTTACTCAAAGACCATGCGTTATCACGCCGCTTATTAGCCCACGTCCCATCGATCGCTCCTCAAATTAAGGTCGAAGTGATCTTCCTCTTGTCGCCAGCTGACACATGTAGAGCAAAGGATGACTCACCTTTCAGCTTACACTTTGTCACCGCCATTTGCATGACCAAAGTGACCAATCCGCCATTGACATCATCTTTATATATAGATGCTATTCGCCATAGCCAAAGGTGGGCAATCTAAACTCTCATCCTGACCTAAATCTCAAAGATTATCATCTCTAATGCCCATAGCATAAGAACACATAGTTCTATTACTCCACTCAAGCTCAAGTTTATCAACTGACTTGATCGTCCAAGGTACCACGGGGGAATCACCACCCCGCCCTCTCACGACCTTCTTCTATGCAGATCGATCACTCTAACTCAGTGGCCAAGATATAAAGTCGGGGAAGGAAGCGGTCCCCTCCATCATTTTTCATCACTCCGCAACCATCCTATTCTGGATTATTTTGTGTGATTTTAGCATCAACAGTTTGGTGCCCACCATGGGGCCCTCTTTCTTTTTTGAGAGAACATGTATAGTTCTGAAGATAGAGCTGAGCAATCTCGTCTTAAAGGACCTCATCAGAGCTATGCTACTCAAGCCCAGCTTGAATCAACAACTCATATGATTCATCAATCTTGCTAAGAGCAATTTGCTACCTTCACTAGTGAGCTTCTCAGCCGGCTTCCACAGCCGCAACAAGCAAAATTTGCACCTCATCGGTCAACTCGCCGATGTCTCCTTCCTTATCAAGAACTCACCGGCGAGAGTCCTACCATTAGAGCCTCCGAATACGATCGAGTCAACAGACCGATCGCAAGCGTCTTCGGGAGTAACAACCCCCTTTCAGACGACCTTATGAATGTTCCATGTGAGAAGTTCAAGATGCCTCGCATGGAGACATACAAGGGCGAGGGAGACCCCTCCAAGCATGTTCAGAATTACTATGATGTGATGAGTATGCTCCAAGCATCAGAAGCAATTTTCTATCGATGCTTTCCTATCACTCTTTCAGGGAGTGCTAAGCTCTGGTGGAACACTCTTGAGAAGAGATCTATCAGAAACTTTTGACAACTTAGCCGGAAGTTCATCCACCATTTCCTAGCTGACGCCAAGCAGGAGTTCCCCCCCTCATGTGCTGATCCAAATAAGGTAGGGACCAGAAGAGAGCCTCCGGGCCTACTTTAAGAGATTTCAAGCTAAGAGGTTGGAAGTCGACGACCCAGGGAGTGCGGTCACCTTGTCAGCACTCGTAACTGGTCTGCAGAGCAATGCATAGGCTGACTATTTGTCTAAGAAGCCAGTTGCCAATTATGAGCAATTGATAGCCAGAGCCCATGGATATGGAAGATGCTCGAGCTTACAAGGTGACAGCCAGGGCCACAGAGTCCTCTTCAGCCGCGCATTAAGCACTCTGGAGCAAGCCCTTGGTTCCTTATCAGGAATAAACCCAAGGTACAACCCTTTGTCCGACTCCTACAGTAGTCTCTCGGCCTAGGTGAGGGGATGCCCTAGTCAACTTTTCTCACAATTCTAGGCATTCGACTTCTCAGTCGGATTCTAAGCCCATGGCTTTTTATCAGGGTAATCCCAAGGCACAAGATGTGGTTGGATTCTATAATTCTCATCAACCATCATGGTGAAGCCCTAGGCACCAAAATAAGTCCTAGGTGACCCAACCTCCGGGCTGGCGTGTCAAAAACCCTTGGCTCTTTATCAGGGTAAGCCCAAGACACAACATATGGTCGATTTCTCCGGCTCTCATCGATCATCATGATCAAGACATTGGTTCCTTCTCAGGGTAAGCCCAAGGCACAACTCTATGGTCGACTCCCACATTCACCTCTCGGCCATACGAGGATTATGGAGACTTAGGTTCAATGTGAGACATAGCCTCAGAATCATCATTCTACATTAAGACATTGGTATCATCATGAGTAAACCTAAGGCATGGATTTCAATTGCCCGGTTATCTTCGACAAAGAGACTTAAAGCACTTCAACTTGCCAGTCTTCGTCGACGCAATACCCGAGCATTTTGCCCACAATAGGCTCAATATGAGCTAGTTGTCAAGACGACTCGCAACATTCGGGTCGACACAACACAAC